GCCGTGAGTGCCACCAATGGTCTCAGGTGGCATACTGGAAAGATGGATGGGCACAAGCGCATACTGGACAGTTGCAAGGTAGGGTACGGGCATATGGATTTTTTTTTTTTATTATTATTTATTTTGGAGGAAATGCAGTTTCATTATCAAAGGACATTAAGGGTCCCGGAATACACCCCAACAAAACAACCCGGTACAGAACATGCTCGGGCCTTTACCCAGCTGTGGGCTCCTGGAAACCGGGTCCAGTGTCCCTTTTCATAAGTCCTCCAAAAAGAATAAAAAAAAGTTGTAACAGGCCTCCCAGGCTGATCTCTCTTAAGAAAATCAAACGAGCTTCCTTTTCAAATAAACAATACCAAACTGGGCAGCTTCTTGTTTTCTCAGACCATCTCTGCTCAAGGAGGCTTCAACCAAGAAGCAAAGGCCAGATTGTTATCTGATGACACTGTAGCCCAATGGCTTCCTTGTGTCCACGTGTGCTTAAACCACATCAGGTCTTTCTTTTTGCTTCTTGAGAAGCCCAGCCAATCAGCTTGTATAGATAAGCGAATATTCCTCTTGATTTGCTGTTGCTGTTCCTGTAAAACAATCCTCGTTTGTCTGAACACCTGAGTATATGGATTTTTTTCGCCTTGTACTCAACGGCAATCCGGTTGGAACCGGTACCAGTGGCAGTAGGGGCATTTTGAACAAATTTCAGGTCCAACCGACGCCGGATCATCGCAGAGGAGAACGGGACGTTAAGTAGACCGTCGGAGGGGCATGCCGGAAATAAACGGATTTCAAAGGGGCATTTCGATAATATATCGAAAACGAAAATGAAAAAAAAAAAAAAAAACCTCTCACGTGCTTGTTGCTTTGCGGAGAAGTATCTTCCCTGCCGCGAAGGAGTGGCTTCCCTGCTTCCATCACAAAGGGCAGGTGTATGATCTGCAAGTGGATCTCATGCAAAATGGGCAGTCAGCTACTCAGGGCCGTGGCCTTCCGGTCCGAACTTTTTTTTTTTTTTTTTTTTTTTTCCAGGAAAAGTAGAGCATTTCCATTATCAATGCTCAGAAACATCGAGGCCGGGAATCCTCACAAACAACCCGGAGTTAACTGGAACACTGGGAATCTTACCCAGCTTCGCTTCTGGTCTTAACAGCCTACTTGCTCAGCTCAGCAGCTGTGTCTCTCAAAACAGTAGAGCCCTCCACTCTTCAAAGATGATTCCTGAAGAAACTGGCCTACAAAACCTATCATATATCTGAGTGGTCTAAAACGACCCTCTTCATGGAGCAAGCTCCCTATCTACCTAGCACTCCGTCCTCCTATCCCAAGAGCCACCCTGCTTCGCGCACTGCCTGCCTACCCGCGACAACATGTACCGAGTGCACTGGTACTTATTCCTGTGCCCCCTTTACCCAAGTACAGAACTCCAATTTGCCCTTCTCATCAATTCTTACCAACCAAGCCTAAGTTTTACTTCTGCACCAAGTTCTCTGAAACCATCTGATGCCCCGCATACTGCTTCGAGGCTGTTCTACCTTTCTGTTCCAATCTGCCTTGATATACTGCCTGATGCGATTACAAATCAATGATTTGGTAACCTTATCTGACGTCCCTTTGCCTTTGAAGACCGCACTGTTCCTGATTACCCAGATCACAGATATAATGATGGCCCTACATACTTGAACTACATATCCACACCCTTCCGCAATCAATACATTCTGGGGAATAATAACCAGCATCACCGATTCCTTGTTCCATTCCCAATCCCAATCTGCAAAATCCCGCCAATGAGAAGCCCACCATTCCCAAATTCTGTGTGAGGCAGGACAGTCCCACCAGAGGTGGACTGTTGATTCAAACGGTCACACGCATCTACTGCATGTCAGCCGAACCTGCATTCCTTTCCCCGTCAGCCAAACTGCAGATGGCCACACGCATCTACTGCATGCCCCCGACAGTCCCATCAATGAGCCTTAAAGTTTATTTTTGGAAAGGTAGAGGTTTATAGGGACGCTGGACCCCGTTTCCAGCAGGAGGTCGATTTTTTTTTTTTTTTTTTTTTTTTTTTTAAAAAAAAAAGGCTAATTCTTTGAAGCCCAACGATTTTATAAGCTAAACTGGCTGAGGCTTCCCGGATAACTCCGGGTCGAATTGTGATGTCCCCGGCCTCGTCCCTTAAATTTTTGCAATATATTGACAACTTCTCCAAAAAAAAAAAAAAGATCTGCAAGTGGATGGAAAAACGGTAAGAACATCAGCAGAACCTGCTTTTTTTAATGCCAATTGGAGGGACCAACGGGCTATCTCTAGGTGGCGGGCGCCAATCGGGGAGGCACAGCGACTGGCCACTCAGATGATGGTCGGTCCCTCTACCACCGGCTGTCCCCTGGCCGGTGCCCCCCGTTGGGGGTTCCCTGAAGGCTATCAGGCCACCCTAAGGCTATCAGGCCACCCTGGGCTGAAAAGGCCACCGTTGTCAGATTAGTCCGATGATATACCTCAAGGCCATCGCCTTTTAAAAAAAAAAAAGAAAAGAGAAAAAAAAAAACGGTAAGACGAGATCTTCTCACGTGCTTGTCGCTTTGAGGAGAAGTATGTTCCCTGCCGCGACGGAGTATTTTTCCTACTGCGAGACAAAAAAGGGCAGGTGCATGATCTGCAAGTGGATGGAAAAACTATAAGATGGCATTCCAAAGGGTGTCGTTTCCATTACCGTCTTCCCCCGAACATAACGCACCCTAAAAATGAATGTATACAAGCTGTATTTCCGTCCAGTTACAGCCAAAATGAGGGGGCGTTGTGTCCGGGGGAAGGCGGTACTCTCGAAATGCGCAAAACAAGAGGGAGTCTTCCGCTACAACTTGGAGCGATACACCGCCACGATTTTTGTTTCTCGTGCATGTCGAGAGTAGTGGAGCGAGGTGCAACCTTCCTTCTTTCTCTCGTTTCCACACTTGACGCCTGGCGTTCGGCCGGCTTTCCAGTTTATCTTCCGCTTAATGAATGTGATCCGCATGGGGTTAATTTCAAAAATATTGCTGTTTGATTTTCGAAGTTTGGCAGCAAAAATGTCGTCCGTTCGAAGTATAGAGGTTTCGTTGCAGCTTTATAGTTTTATCTTCCGCTTAATTTATTTGATCCGCATGTCCTCTCCACACTGCCAGAGGGTACGCCTGTGAGCTGCTTTCCTCCTCGACCTGTTTTTTTGTGATGTTGATGCGCTGTGCTGGGGGGACACAGGCAGACTTCACCTCCGGCTCTGTATAAAGGCGCATGAACGGGCACTCTGCGTACAGTGCGCTGCGATCTGCTTACTGATCGTGGGCGGTCTTTGGGGATCCCAGGCGGGAGCTCCGAGAAGTGGCGTCGGCCCTCTCTTCTTCCACGGCATTTGAGCCGAGGAGAGGGAGCTCAAGGGGCGACTCCAGGCGAACAGCTCCGGGAGCGGCGAATTGGGGAGGGCGGTATCTGCTGCCATAGCCGGAAGTGCTCATCTGTCGCTGGGCGCGCGGAGACAGGAGCAAGGTGAGACGAAAGACGAAGACGAAGAGAATCAGGCACACGGTTTTCGAGTCGGTGTCTACGATGGCGGCGATGGTGGTCGTGCTGCTGCTGGGGCTTCTCCAGCTTGCCGTTCCTGGACTTGCTCAAAGTCCGCCACCTGGTACGGTAAAGATCGAGAGCTTGACCTTTGCTGGCACTGGCTGTCCGCCTGAAGGTACAGAGGGCATACTCTCCGACGACGGAATTTTGGGTTTGGCTTTCACGAAGTTCAAAGTGTTCACCCCAGGACGTAAAGCTGACCTGCGGAAAACCTGCCAAGTGGCCGTCCACCTGAGCTATCCTGCTGGGTTCACGTTTAGTGTGCGAACTGCGACATTCCGAGGGTCCGCCCAGTTCGAGGAAGGCGTCACGGGTTCACTGGCAGCCACGTACTACTTCTCGAGAGTCCCAGGGACACCCAGATCCTCGCGCAGCTTGCCTCCTCCCGTCGAAGGCAACTTTGAGTTCTCCAACAGCTTCGACACCTTTGTCTATTCACCGTGTGGCAGTCAGTCGGTGACGCTCAATGTCGTTTTCGGGGCAACAGTACTGCCTCCATCCAGGCCGAATAAGAACAACAAGGGCTCGATCACCGTCACCAGGCCGGGTTATAGTCTGCTCTGGAAGAAGTGCTAAGGGCATACTCGTATAAAAGCGTTTCTGGAGCATCTGGCGGCAAATGCAGCGAGATCCAGTTCAGAAAGTCGTAATGTGAGCATGGCCTAAGCTGATTTAACCAGGCGTCAACAACAGGGGGGGGCGGTCGTTCGACATCAGCAAGCCACTTGGACAGAAACATAATGAGCGTCCGGGAGGGGCTCAGCCTGGAGATTAGTGGATTACTCTATCGGTCCGCAGCTGCATGGTATTGTCCGGGGCGCGTCACTGAGCGTGGTCAGCTAAGAACTGGCGACATCACCGATGCAGGCGATCGGACGTGTGTGTGTACAACAGCCTAGCCAGTTGTGGAACTGGTCACTCAACGATCATTATAATTATATATAGAGTACGTATTTAATGTCTGGCAGGCGAGCGAGTTCCACGTCATTTAATTTTTAAACCTGGAAAAGAATACGCTGGCATCTAGGACTTCCGGTGCCTTGCGTAAAGATGAAGTAGACGGCCGTAGCGAACAACAAGGGATACTGCTTAGTATTTAGTGCTCTCTGTCTCTGTCTCTCTCTCTCTCTCTCTCTCTCTCTCTCTCTCTCTCTCTCTCTCTCTCTCTCTCTCTCTCTCTCTCTCTCTGTGTTCACTTTTGTTGGCTTGGTGGCTTGCTCTTTCGCTTGCTCCATGTTCGTGTGTGGCGCACATCTTCAGAGTGCGAGTCGACATCCACAGGAGTATCTCGACCGTGGAGGCACGAAGTGCGATATTAGCGTGAATATGATCTCCTCTCGTTAAGAAGAATCGTCTTTTTCAATGAATTCCTGCATATGTTAGCCTTCTTGAAATCGGTGCATTGTTCTCCTGTAACAACACGTGTTTGCGTGTCCCCCCACAAACTGTCATGATTGGAGTGCGTCTGTGCGTAGTACGAGTTGTTGGTTCCCTCGGAGTGTATGCTTAAATGCTTTGCTCTTCCCACCAATTGGTATGAGCCTGTTTTTGTGTTTGCGCTCGCTGGTTCTCGATCTCATGGGCCTACTGTCTCTCAACGTTTTTTTAACGAACAGACACACTTAGCCTTTGTACTCGCTTGTGCTCGAGCGCCCGGCACGAAGAGTAAATGGAATTCACCGCCGGGAATATATTTTCGTTTTCCGCAAAAAAGATCAGCACGCAATATACGTTCCTGATTTTTTTTTCTATTCTTCCTATTGATTGAATTTCGTACCTGTATTTTATTTTTAGGACCTGGAAAATTTGTACCCCTGAAAGGCTGAAACCTCTCGTATATGCTAAAATCGTAGTAATATACCACCAAAAAGATGTGGGAAGATGGCAACACCCCTCTGAAATTCCAAAGGCGATTTTTATTTTAATTTATTATTTATTAATAATATTTTTTGTTTTGGGAAAATTTGCGAAACGCCCCTGAAATTTCCGTTAAATGGCGATTTGCCCTCGGACGGCCGATTTTTTCTGAATTGCCCCTCTAACAACGACTCAAGTTTCCAGAAAATCCCCGGCGTCACTTGGGCCTCGAATATGTTCAATATGCCCCTACCGGTACCGCTGCCAACTTTTCAATATGCCCCTACCTGTTGGCCGTTGAGGACCTGCAGTGGAATTTGCTATATGCCCCTACCGGCACCATGCATCTTTGCAGTATGCCCCCACGGCCGTTGTTGGCAGTGGCGGCCAGATGTGAATATTTCCACGTTTCGGCGGAAGATTTCCACGTTTTTAATCATTTTTTTTTTTTTGAACAGGGCGATGGCCTTGAGGTATTATCAAAGGGCTAACCAGCCCAGGTAAATTCAATCTTGCGTCTAATTTTTGAACACCGGGTGGCCTTTTCAGCCCAGGGTGGCCTTTCTTGCCTTCCGCCGTTTTCCGGGAACCCCCAGTGGGGAACACTGACCAGGGGACAGCCGGAAGCAGACGGACCGAGCATCACCTGAGTGGTCAGTCGCATCTCCTCGCCCATTACCTCTCCCACTATGAACATCAGAAGAGACTGCTTTCTAATGCCAAAAGCTTGTGAAATGCCCTTTTGGATTTAGATCTTTGGGATCTACCACTGTCAGGTGGAGGCACAGTTTGCATTCTGCCCCTGCCACGTGTATAGCACAAACACGGCAATCCCGTGACAAGGGTTTAAAATTTCAATCCAAGCACAAGGGCATTTCATGATTTCACAAACTTCGGGAATTTTTCACATAACGGCCCCTGTGCACGGATGACAGTCATAAATCCAGAAATGGTCCATATTTTTCAAAAGGGGAGAGAAGTTCAGAGGGGTTTTCCACTCTACGGACTGCTTCTGGGTGTATTTTACCGCATAAGTGTGTATTTTGCAACTTCTTTTGGGCCTCCTACCTTCAGGAGGCCTAATAGAAACGGCCGCCGATCAGATTTATCAACGGCAGCCGTTATTAGGCCTGGCCTCCTAAAAGTTGGGGAATAGGCTAAAACTGGCCGAAACCAAACGGCCAAGGTCCTGGT